TGACACGTTGATGTTGTGTGACTAGCCTCACAAATAATGCACCTTTCACTGAGGGTCAAAATCATTGAAGCGTTGATAGATATGTTAATACTTTTAATAGGCCCTCTGTAGAAGAAAATCAAGAAAACTGGACAATGGAACTAAGGAGGAATGCACCACGCTCTGTTTTCTCCGAGATCGATCAAACTGTGATCAGTATGATGAGGTTTTAAGCGGTGGGGCATTATAATTGAGCGGCATTCTTTCAGCGAAAGAAGGCTTCATTTATTAGATGCAAGGAATCCGGCGCCATTTGTGTTTGAATCATAAAACTTTTTTCAGCTGATAACCATAGTCCTTGCATGCTAAATTAGCCCCGCTACTTGGCTATTTGAGCATTTACCATTAGTCAGTCAAAACCGACTTAGCTTGTCAGGGCAGTCAATATACCGGGGGGGGCACTTGGGTATTTTTTGGGTGGGTATGTGCCGCACAGGACTCCAAATTGGCACCCCGTTCTAAAAAAAATTTCCCCTAAAATTGATACCCCGTTCTAGAAATGGGCCAATTTTTTATACCCCGTTCTAGAAAGTTTGTAAATTGAAATAACCCTGTTTTTTAAAAAGATATGTTCGACTTATACATCAAATAAATGCTTCTTCACAATCATCCGGAGTACGTTTCCTGTGCATGTGGATACAATGCGGTTAATTATGACGCAAAATCTCTCATCACGCACAGAATCACGCTCGTACGCTAACGATTTTCCTTCTCCTGCTCCCTCGGGTACATTATAAACTCGTTCCAGACTTCCGCGCGCCTATTTATCCAAGATGGCGGAGTCAGCGCTCGCGGCTCGCGCCAAAATACGCCCGCACTGCACGCTAAAACACAGGGTGCAACAAGAGTACAACAGTTTGCTTGTTAACGCATTGAACCGTATTTTTAAAAGTAATCTGTCCTTGAATAATTTCAAATGGCTGCTTACAAAACTGGAGCTTTCGTGCGTTCGAAATATTACGGCCCCGTTCTAGAAAACTTCTCTGAAATGGATACCCTGTTCTAAATCAGGAGCTTCAAAATCACGACCGCGTTGGGCGGTACATACCCGTATAGGTAATGTATGGGAGTATCCTCCCCGGGTCAATATATAACCATGCGAACGCCGGGGTTACTTCATCCTAAGCATTTCAAACGGACCTCTAGAGCCAGGGTGCTATTAATAAAAGATGTCCACAGTCCAGAAAAAACCCTTTACCTCAAAACAGTATGCTCTGCAGTAAAACGGTTTATTTAGAATTCAGTACATTGGGGCGCAATTGAAGAGTAAGACACCGAGTAAAACTTCATGCCTTCATTAAAGTTCTAGAGTCAGTGGTCATCGAGCGACTTGGGAGTCTTTGTCGTTTACGACCTCTCATGGAGCAAACAAGTATTTGAACAGTCGTGTCGCGCAAATAAGCTGTTAGGTTACATTAGACGTAATACACACAGGATTCACAAGAAGCACTGACGGTAGTCGATCGTTCTATACTATTTCACTTTAGTTAGACCTCTTTTCGGCTATGCAAACCCAAATTTGGGCTCCTCAGTCTATCGAACTAATTACAATAATTGCCTTTTTCCTGCACAATTTCCACAGGCAGCCCAAGCTCAAAATGAGAGTACGTGCGATTGCGTAATTTTCAAAATGGCCGTCATTATGAAGGATTTGTATGAGAATTCAGGTAATAGATTCGAGAAGATAAATACTGGTATTAATTTTCAATACAACACGCTTTACCTTGTTTGCTTGGTGTCCTCTTGCTTCCTGTGCGGCTAATTTCCCGATCCGTTGCGATTTAAGCGATTTCCTTCATCCCGGGTTTCCACAAGGGATCGGAAAATAACCACACAGGAAGCAAGAAGACACCAAGTAAACTAGGCAAAGCGTAACGTATTGAGAATTCATGCCAGTATTTATCTTCTCGAATCTATTACCTGAACCTTTATAAAGACGGCCATTTTGAAAATTACGCAATCGCACGTACTTCCATATTAAGCTTGTGCCGCCTGTGCAATTTCTTAGATGGACAGACTTAAATCTTTGGATATGCTTCCATTAACATTCTGGCACGAGTATCTCGATATGGTGTTTTTTTGTTTTTTTTGTTTTTCAAAATCATTCATGGTCTCGTATCGGTAGATCCATCAATTATTTCTAAACCCCGCGTCACGACGGAGACCTACCAGATCTTCATCTAGTGGTGTTACTAAAAATTTGTCGATCCTTAATGCCACACAGCAACTTTTCAAAACTGTCCTATATCATCAGATGCATACGCGTCTGGAACGTTGTTGCTGATGATGAACTGAACCTGCGCATGAACGCCCGGAATGATTTTAATCAGGCAATGGTAGAGCAATACAAAACCGCCTTAAGTAATCACGACTGTCTTAAATGTAATAAGTGTCGTAGTCTTGCCCAGCCTGTCTCTTGTTGCTGTTAATTTTGTGGTTATGTGTTTCAACTATTCTTATATTTTTAATTTTCTGGCCCCTCAGCAACTGGCTCACGCTGTTGCGGAATCCCTGTCACTTTTTCTGGGTTACTTTGTTTGATTACCTGAATGTATTTATATGATGTTGGCGAAACTAACAAAATAAAATAAATGAAATAAATTCCCTGACGAAGGGCAATCCATTTGATCTTAAAATGACTAAAATTATCAGTCTAATCGCATTTTAAAGGTAATTACATTATCAGAGGGTGCTAATGGGGGTACCCATGTCTCAGGTAACTACTAACTTTTAGGCCATGTACTTTTTTTTGGCCAATTCTCACTTAACTACTAATTTTGGTTAGGTATTAACTTTCACGATTTTTTGCAGCGAATGTTATTCCGTCGTAACCCGAATTTTCTTTACTTGAGCACTTAATTAATCACTTTTGGGGGTGGGCCCTACCAAAATCAAGATATAAATTGCATGAATTCACACACACTCCGCCCCTAGTACAATTTAGAAGTAACTGAAAATATAGAACATAACATAACATAACAACTTTATTTAAGGGTCGATGTGTCAAGCAGATACAAGCTAGTTAAGGACACTAGGTTTATAAAAAAAAAATTAAAAGAAGTTTACAGTACTAGAAGAAAAAAAGGATAATGGCAGTTACAAAATGAGTGTATAGATCATTCTACAATTCTCTAAAATCTAAAATTTATAAACATTTAAAATTTAAAGTTACTGAGTTAACCCTACTTAAATATTAAGGAAAGTGTTAAAAAAATATTACTAAAATTCTTAAGAACTGACAAATTGTGCAGGAACCACAATTGTCGCTTATAAGATCTACAAGGTTAATGCGCCGTATGCTGGACTTAAAAGATTGTAAGCTAGGTTTGTCTTTGACTTTGTTGTCCAATCTAGACTATATAATTATTGGTCCATAGTAACTCATAGAATGTTTCCCGTAATATAAATATGATCATGTAACGCCCCTCTTGAAAAGCCTGTCTTGGTTGCCTGTTAAGGACCAACTTTACTATGGCCTTCAAATACATGACCGGTCAAGCCCCTGAATATCTTACATCCCAATTTATTACCCGTGAGCAAGTTAGCGAACGAACAACTCGGAGTAGCCAAAAGCTAAACATCCCTCTTTTCAGAACTGCCTCCGGACAGAGAACCTTTTATTACAGGACTGTTAAACTTTGGAACAATTTGGAATCTTTTCTTAAGTTAAGCCCATCTGATGAAATTTTTAAACGTTCCTTAAGTAGCCAGCTTTCAGATAATTTTGTAAATACTTCTTAGTTAAGTTTAAAACATTTTATTATATAGACACGAGTGTTTTACTGGAAAATATAACACTCGTAAAATTCATAAAAACTACATCCGGGACCCGAGTAGTTTATTTTCCATAATCTCACACGTGAGTTTATCGATGACGTAATTTTGGTAATTTCCCTCTATGATTTTATCCATTTCATTTTGCCTATATAATAAAAAAAACATTGCACGGCGGCTTGAAGATATGAATTTTATTTTCTCGTGTCAAAAACAATATTCTACTCACTCGCTGCGCTCGTTCGTAAAATATTGTTTTGCCACTCGAAAATAAAATTCATATCTTCGCGCCACCGCGTAATATCCTCTATTTAATTAGTAACTAGCTAACATTGTAATTAGTATTAGATTAAGTGTTGTAATTAGTTATTATAAATAATGTAATATAATCATTGCTACTGAAAGGCCCCTTTGGGGAGGTAACAATAAAGTATGTATCATACGTAATATACAGTATTACATCTGGGTTTGAAAATCCGTATTTCTTAAGTGATACCGGCTTGGATGACTTTTTTAAGTCATTATGTTAAAGAACAATTACCTCATTTTAACCGAAGTGGTCAGAATGGGTAAGGGATAGCTATTAAGGCTCCTATTAAATGATTTTTTTCAGCAAGTACAGTTAACAAAAAGAAAAAAATGAGATTAAGCGTAAAGCCATCAAATGACACCGGCCTGATAGATCCAGACGCCGTGATTTTGTTTCGATCCAGTCGATCCATCCGACGAAATGACTTAATCACTTTCGTTTGTATGTAGTGAATTTTTAACCTGAGAAAACAGCCGATCTTTCGCGACGCCACCACTGGCCTTGGCTGCGAAATGACAGCTGAGGGACGAGCGCAGAAATTCCATTCTGATGCTGGGTAGTGCTTCTGATTGGTCGTGCCACGAGGGAAATTTGCTTCAAACAATCGACGGCACACATCTTTCAAATTCAAAGTCTTAATGTAATTAAATCAGTGGAACTTCACAAAAACTACACAGAATGAGACCATAATCCGCGCAACATCACTGCTATGTACGCTAAACTAACTGAAAAGGCATATATAACATTATAACATCCCTAAATGTCTCGTGCTGCAATTGTTTTAATTTTTTAAGACTCTATAAACAAAACCAAGGATGTCCTTCGGCATGTCATCACTGTCATATAAAGGAATCTTTTTTGTGCTGACTTTTTCCCATCGTCTATCTTTTTCGAGTTCCATCATCTTTTCCTGGTAGGCTCCCAGGTGATCGTCTCGAATACTGAAACAAAGAAGACCACCTGCAGAAAAAAAACCAGAGTGTGAATCGCAAGTGACAACAGTTGATGTTAAGGGCGTAGCTGCCCTTATGTTAAGCCAACAACCCTATTCAGACCGGGGGCGTTTAAACCCCCTCCCCCCACCCCCCTCGTGAAAAAGTTAAATAACTTTAAAACTGTTCAAGCTATGACCGCCAAACATAGTAAATTATATATATAATTTATATTTATATTTATTTAAGTATATTAGACTGCATTAAATATATTTACCGTTATCGTCTTCAATGGTTTATACTATGACAAACTTGAGATACAGTTGTGATACAATTTTCTAAAGCATTTTTGGGATGAACAAGAGTGTAATAATTACTGAGACTACATTTGTTATATCTGTAAACCACGTGATATAGCTGAGTTGCACAGGTCATTAAATTGTTGAGTTGAAAACCATCCGATCTGTATGATGATGTCATGTGNTGGGCACACTTTTTCTTGTTTCCTTCATTTTTCTACTAGTTTCATAATTATAAGGCCGTTAAGTATGTCATTTCTGGGCTTGGCAATGTCAAGAGTTTTCAAAGGAAAGGCATGTTAAAATGATACATTTGTATTGGGAGACTGGGTACTAGTCGAAAAACCCGTTTATTTTCAAAATAGACGAGATATTTGAAAGTTGCCAAGCACAGTTTTTTAGCGGCTTATATTTTGTATCTTCTTAGGGTAGTAAAGTAAGATAACTCTTGCTAAAAAGTGTGCCCATTTTTTCTTAAAGATATTTTGAAACTTTGAGGAGCGGTAAGGTCACGTGACCTAATTTGCATAATTTTGGTTTATTTTAAAGGATCAATGTTGGTGTTGTGTAATATTTTTTGGTATTTTCTGCTTCATGATAAACCATTCATATTATAGACTACCCCCCTCATTTTTACAGGAAAATGGTTATTGACCCATGCCTTAATTTACCTGAGTCCCCAGCAGTTAGAAATGGTTAGTACATTGTTCTGCGTAATTTCGGTGGCCATAGCATGAGCGGTTTTAAAGTTAAAGAGGGGGGCCTCTGAAGCTCTCCCCCCGGTCGCAGGAAGCGATAAAAAGCAAGGTCTGAATAGTGTTAAGCCTGAGCTTAACAAAACATTGGCTTAAATTTTAACTCACACACTGATGTCTTTCGCGGTATTAAATGGGCATGGATATACGGTTGACTTTCGATTACTCGAACCTTCTCTAACTCGAACCTCGCGCTTGACGCTATCTTGAGGAAAGTCGCGTAGTACGTGATGAAATTTATGCTACTTACTAGACAAAAAAGACTTACCAATCCTAACTATTCTAATCATCTCTACAAACGCGGAGGAACGAGCGTGTCCCTTAACCAATGTACCAGCACAAATAAGGGCATCATACTCGCTAGTGCCTATTTCAGGAATCCGCTGGTCACTCAGAAAGGCGCAGATGAACTTTTTGTAGACATTTTTCTTCCTAGCTTCGTTCAACATTTCAGCTGAAATATCTACCGCCGTAAGGCTAGTGTAGCCAAGCTCATGAAGCTGAACCCCTAGCAGTCCTGTCCCTGCACCGACGTCGATGATTTTCATCTCATTCTTTGATTTATCTTGGCACTCTTGCTTGATTGATTCGTTTAAATATTGGCATAAAGCTTGGTACAACACATAACCCGCTGACTGGAGGTCCTGAAATCGTATTAATGCTCAAATCACGCGATATTTAATTAGATTTATTAATCATTATTCATTCAATATATTTCGCCGTTTCTGATTGGCTCAGATCCCTGGCCAAGCTTGGTTAATTCTTCATAAGCGGCCGGCGTTGCCGGACGAAATGGCGAGGAGTACACCAACGATTCGATGGTGTGTACTTGCTTGGAAACGAAATCGCTGAATTTCTGACTAAAACTGAACGGAAGAAATACATGCATACGCAAAACATATTGCTCGCGGATGGAACTACAAGTACTTAATTCGCTACAACAGATCATTTGCATGATGACATCATTATTTTTACCACTACGACCAGAACCCTTCAGGGTTTTGCTTTCCGGTGCAAATCAGGGCTTTCGTTATTAACCTCACTGGGATTACAAAATTTAAATATGAAAGAAAAACGAAAAGGTTCCTGGTCGTAGTAGTAGAATGACGCCATCGTGCAAATGTTATATTGAGAAGTATCTGTAATAAAAAGAAAGAAAACCTTTTATATCTTGCATGTGTGCAGACGTCTCATATTTCCTTTGTTGCACGCGGAAAAGGAAACAGGAGATGTACGGTGCAACGAAGGAAATAGGAGACGTCTGCACGCAGGCAATTTTATATCCTGAAAATGTGCGAGAAATGGACCAAAGTTTCGAAGAATTTACGTGTACGAGGAGGTAAGGCAGACTCGTACCCAGTCGCTATTTAAGTGTTTTTTGGGAAGAGAGAAGATTGGGGATTAGGTTGAGGAGGGCGCGGGGTCTCATGGGAAGGGAAGTAGGAAAATTAGCCTGAGTATCAGGCGTTTCTGGGGAAAAGGGGAAAAATGGAAGCGAAAAAGGAAGAGAGGTCAAGGAGAGAAACGCCTGACACAGATGCTTTTACTGGAGCCTTCCACCCTCACACAGCATGATACGATACCATCCAATCAAAATCACTTCCGCTCATTGGGTTGTCAGCTTCACGTGTCAAAAAGCTCGCCTAAAATAAATCTCACTTAACGGTCTGGCCGAGCATCGGTGCTTGTGTTGCTCCGATTTCGCTTTTTTCTGAAACCTCCAATGAGGAGTTGTCGAATACTTGTAATGTAAAACCTGCCGTTTATGAGGAATTATAACGGGGTTTAGGAATTGTGCTAGTGTAAGATCACCAACGCTCTGTTTGTAAACAAACGTGTGCCCGGAAAATTGTAAATTGCTTTTGTTTACAGAGTTAAATCAGGCGCTTTTCTGGCAGCTAAAAAGCTGGTGTTATCCTCCGTATTCTCGGGTGGTTGAATGGAGCTGCAAGAATATATAGGAAGGTGCGATGGTGAAACACCTATGCCTAGAAATTATCAAGCAGCAGCAGATTCCACCACTTCACAGAGAGCTCGTGAAAGCTGTTACAAGTTCAAAAATGGTGAGAGCCTATAGCAAAGGTCAATCCCGTTGGCGAAATATGATGGCGCCCGCTTGAGCTTAAGACATTTCAAAAGTGAGAAAATTTTGGAAGAGGAAGCGAACGAATTCCAATCACGTACGTTATCGTAACCGCAACAAGCAAAGTCAAGCTTTTTAAAAGCATTGGTGCTGTCGGCTATCCCCGCGGCTATCTCAATACATGGCTACCTCGCTCTATTTTCATTTACAGTAACAATACCCTTTTAACGGCAGGATGTTGTCAATCTGAATTTACATCTCTGAAACACTGATATCGTCTTCTTTGTCCCGGTCTTGTGTAACCAATACTCGGACATAGTTTCGGCAGAAGATGGTATATGAGGCTACGAGGCCTTGAAAACACAATTCTTGCTCGGGTTTTATTTTTATTCCTGGAAAGAACTTGAGAGCGCCCTGTAGAGCCTTTTTGAATTCCTCTCTGCGTCTCTGTCTGTAAAAGTATCACATACGGGTAATATGAAATCAAAACATCTATGAAAAATTTCAATGACCGTCTCCTTGCCGATAACTCTTGCGGTCGGTGACGTCAGTGGGTATTGTGTGTTATCCAATCACTGCCACATCCAGATTTTGGATGTGTCACACGATTTGCTGAATGGTTTGGTGTCAGGCCTTCCTTTCTCTTCTCCCCCTCCCCCCTCCCCCATCTAAAATCTCCTCTCCCCTAGCCCCGTAGGAAGGCCTGATACTCAGGCTATAGGAAAATTCTTCCTTCTTCCCTTCCCATGAGACCCCGCGAGCGCTTCAACCTAATCCCCAATCTTCTCTCTTCCCAAAAAACACTTAAATAGCGACTGGGTACGAGTCTGTAGGTAAGGATCTTAAAAACTTAGAAATAGTTTGGACGAATAATAAAACTATTATTGAATTCAGTTTCCGTATGATGTTGAGAATTATGCAGATCTCGGAGACTGTTATCCACTTCGGCCGATTACATTCTCCAGCTCGATCTGCATAATTCTTCATATTATCATCATAGACAGCCTCATTCAAAACTTGTTAGGAGAAGACTCTGGATCTTCGGCATGTTGCTAGGATATACTTTCAAACCCAGTCCTAATAGCCGTGCCCTTAGTACAGCGGGCTCGGTTATGACCAACGATTTGTCAATAAACGGATGCTCGCACTCGAAAAACCTCTTTGACGAGAGAGAACAAGATTGACTGGTCTAGAACTCTGGGCTGCGGTGGCCTCAAAGGTTTGATGACTCCTATTTTCCCTCCTCTATCAAGATGACAAAAGAAGGCTCTGATAAATGAGAGCGAACTTTAAGAGCGGCGAAAGGTCGCAAGCGAAGTGACTTCCCCGGCGGGTACGTAATGAGTCGAAATGAAATCTTGTCGCATGAGGAGAAATTTGCATGGGTGAGCACATTTCCTGCTGGCTGGACAAAAATTTGCGCGAGCGAAATTTTGTTGCTTAGGCCCCAGTAGGTAGTCATCAATTTTTCCGTGTTCTCAGGGGTTTTACAAGACAGAAATTCAATTTATAAGTTGCTTTTACCTTGTCATAACTGCTTGCCCAATCACGATACAAATGTTTAATCGCTTCCTCTGATGTGCTGTATGAGATGCTGTCAAACCGACTGCCATAGTATTTAGTGTATCCAGCTTCGTATCCAGATTTCGCAGACATTCTGGAAGAAGAGGGGAATCGAACGTTTTTGCATTTGCATAGATATCTTGTTTTATTACCAACCTTCATACATCGTACATAACTCCTCATAATCTTGTTATTACAAAATATGTATATATATATATATATATACTTAAGGCTAAAGGAAACACAGCAAGCTCTGATGAGCTTTTTGAAAGTTCCCCAATGATTTCTTTACATAGTTTAAAGTATAAGAGTTGGCATAATGAGTATCACTTTACATATTAATCAAGGTATCAAGGAGTATTTTTCGCTGATTGTACATGTGAATGTATAATGCTTCATTAAATACGTTGCTTGATTTTAATTCCTTCAAATCATTTGGTAAACTATTCCATATTATTGCTCCTCTATACTGAAGAGAAAATTTTCCATAATTTGTTCTTTTAAAATCAATGTGTATTTTTAAAGCTAAACTAATATTATAGGAGTGTATACTATCATTGATTTATTACGAAGTAGTCATTAAAAGTTTCAGGAAGTTTGCCATAATTATGTAAGTACATGAAGTTTGCAAATAGGTATAGATTTATTTCATATACATTCATTATTTTTAATAACTTGAACAAAGGCTGAGAAGTTTCTCGAAAACTTGGAAAAGTCATGAGTCTTACTATTTTCTTTTGTGCTATATAAATAGATCTTAGTCTAGTTGGATATGTGCTTGCCCAGTTAATGTTAAAATAGGTCAGGTAAGGATGAACCATTTTTAAGCTCTAAATAATGTCTTCAGAGGTATATATATAGCGCTGTTCACCTACTTTTTTATCTTAACCTTTTGTAAATTAAAAACGTCACTTAGTACAAACTTTGTTTACAATTTAGTACAAACATTTCGAGGATTTTGTCAAGTGCACTTTTTAACATTTTGCTGCAAATTCAGCATGAAAATAATTTTCTACCTATCAGTAAACACCGACAAGCAAAAGTTCGTCACTTTCTTGGTATTTGCTTGTACGACTGCTTCATTTATCGCTCAAATTTTGTCTTCCAAAAATGTCTTAAAATGAGACGCCATCTTGGCTCCGGTTGCAAAACAGTGAATAGCCAAGGATATTCCGAGTTACGGAAGCCAATCAAACGCGCGAAAATTGCTATTCACTGATTTGGTGAATACAAAAGCAGTATATTGTGATCTACCGTGTCAAATGCCTTAGAGAGGTCTAGGAAAACCCGCATTGTATATTCACTGTTGTGTACTACCTTAGATATCTTTGAAACAAGCTCAAGAATTGAAAATTTGTTGACAGGTTTTTCCTGAATCCGTATTGACTGTCTGTTAAGATTTTATGCTTATTTGGAAAAAATAGAATTCGCTTGTACATTAATTTTTCCAAAATTTTTGAAAAACATGGACGTACCGATATAGGTCTATAATTTGAGAAAAGTTCTTTCTCATTTGCTTTATAAACAGGGGTTACCAGAGCTAATTTAAGTTCATCAGGTATAATATCAGGGAGAAAACACTGGATATATATGGTAGGAAGTGGTTTGATTATAAGTTTAGATATCGCTTTTACAACCCTTGGAGACATTACATCTTAACCGCATGATTTGTCGATTTTCAGTTGTTTCAGCTCTATTTCTATTTCTCTTTCAGTGACTGGATCTAAAAAAACAGAGTCAACATTACTTTTTTCTAAGTAAATTGCAAAGTTTATGATATTTTCTGGTATTTTTCTTGCTAGTCTTATTCTCCTTAAATGCATTAGGTAATTCAGTTTTAGTTTTTCTTTTATTAATTACCTCGTTTATAAGTTTCCAAGATAATTTCAAATTACCCCCCGTTTCTGATTGGCTTGAGCCCTCCGGCTAATTCTTCATAACCAGCTCATTAGCTGAAAAGATAATCGTCAGAAAAAGGCTCATCAGGTGGCCCAGTAGCTAAGCTGTTTTTGAGAAAATGGAATCTAATGGAGAAAGTGGCGAAAAATTTCACTCATTTTGCGGAGAAGAAATATCGGAACTATTGCCTAAAACATAGCAAGAGTAAACTAGGAAAACACCATATACTCGAAGAATGACAACTGTTGTTTGAAAATCTCTTCTCACTAAATCATCCCGGCCTTTATCCCCTAAACCTGTCAAGAAACAGACGCATGTTTTTAAATTAAAGGTAATTAAGAGGCATACTTGCACTAGGCTGCACTTTTCACGGGACTGGCACATCGACAACAGAAAATAATAAACTTTAGAATTTAGGGTCTAAAGGGTTAGCGATGCGTTACTCTTTTCTCTTTATCACGAAGGGTTAAACGGACTATGATGTCATGGCTGGCTAGTTCATTTTGTTGATGATGTTTACTTAATATGTTCCGCGTCCTCATTCGCTTATCAGCTTATGGAACTTGAGAAATTACGTGTGATAGACAAAATTACAGCTTTGTGTCAAACAAACATGTTTATCAAACATTATTTCAAACGTTTCAGACAACCAAAATGGACTTTGAAAAACTGTTTGGCTTAAACACTGCGGTTTTCAGAAACCACAACTTCACTGATTCGTTTCAATCTTCAAGTTTGAACATCCGTGCATCCTTTTGTATTTGCTGTTATTTATACCTTTTTTAACGTTTTGAGCGCGCTATTTTTTATGATTTACTTAATTTGGTGGCAGTGTTTGGTAAATTTCGTGACATAGCTCCGGTTAATACTGAGCTAACTGGGCTCCTGCTAAGATACGTTTCAGGTAGGTTATAACAATTATGCGAGCATAACTGATATCAAAGGTGCGCCTAGGCTAATAAGACTGAGACGTTTCTTGTGTCTCTAATAAAAGTTTGATCGTACTCATCGTCACTGATGTACGGTGTATACTGATTCAGTGCTCAAACCATATTTTCTTGGATTCATCTGTCTTGTTCCTCACTGGAGTTTACCACCAAGAGCCCTCGACACAACCCGAATCATTTAAGACCTAGAAGAGGTTTCTCTCTTGTTTGGCTTTTCAGCGTTTACCAAGTCGTTGGTGTCGCTTGTCAGTCGCGTATAAAACAAACTAACTACGAGACTGACAAGCGATGCGAAAAACTTCATACAAAAAGGCTTACATGCAAGAAAGAAGCCTCTGCTCGCGGTGTATTATACACGTAAGACCAAGTCTATTAAATGTAATGTACATGTATCAGTGAAGGGGAGATAATCTAAAGTTTTTGCGGAAAAAAAAATTGTTGCAATGATTACACTGGCTGGGAATCTTACACTTACCTTTCTGTGGCCTAAGTCGGTTGCAAACGCACAGGAGGTATTCGCAGCACAGACGAGGTTCCAGATCTCATGCGTGACCAGGACTGGCTCCCGTACGATGAATGATTGCCTCTTCAAACGACCAATCCCTTGTAACGTATCAGAACCGCACGAATGTCACGCATTGTTGCAATCGATCTTGCTACGTCCTAGGTACATCCTTTACGACTACCAAAGGTCTTCGAGGCCGAGTCTACAGGAAAGAAAAAGCGAACGGGTATTTTCATTTTTGTTACTAGTCGTGTTTGCCACCATGTGTCAAGGCGACCATTTTTTGAGAAAAATAATACGGAAATATGAGAAAAGAGATCTTGTTGTTGTTGTTGTTGTTTTATTATTATTATTATTATTATTATTATTATTATTTTGGCGTAAAGGCATGAAACGGAGAAAAAATATCAGTTTCGCTGACCGTCACAGGAACTCCTCCCATCACCTCTGTGTTCATTTAAAATTCTCTCTTTACAAACCTATACTCCTTTTTATTTTATCATTATTTTTTATTATCGTGGAAGTTGTTTCATGTACGGAACAGTGACGGAATGGGGATTCAGAGCTTCAAATAATCGTGTTCAGCCCGCTCTTCTAGACCGCGAGTGCCTCGAAAATAATTTGTTCTCGGCCTTAGTCTCTTACCCGAGGGAAGAATAGGATCCCGCGATTGTCACGAGTGACTATAATTGATCACGCGATCATTGAGCCATTACGACAATACTTCAAAGCCGTGTCCTCAACTATTTGCTTCCAGTTTGGAAAGAAACGGATGCTTATTTGCATTGTCTTCACTGAGGTACGGGCAAGCTAAAATCAAGCAGGTAATAGTCAAACAATGCACCATTTTAAATAATTAGATGGTCTCACTGATTTACGTGTTTATAACTGGTAAATAGAAGGTGTTTTCTCAGACGAAACGACACGTTTGGATTGCAGTGAAACCTCTATTAAGTAGACCCCCAATTAAGCAGACACTAAGCCGGGTCCCGAAATTAACGTCTTATATTTCCCTTTATAACGAACTCCTATTTAGCGGACCCTTCCATTTTAAAAGCAAACGCGGACACTAAAATAAATTGTATTTGGCTTATTTCTATTGTTAAAAACCTCTATTAAGCGGACATCGTACTGAATTGACAATAGTAGTATTGGATTACGTCCTTGAAATACGTACTGTAGTCGATTAGGGACGGACCATTAGAAACGTTATGGGGGTGGGGGTGGGGAATTTTTGAGCCGCAGGAATTTTTTTTTCGTTATCAAATTCCTTGTATGAATTATTTTTAGGCCGAAGCATGAATATTTTTTAGGGCCGTAATTGGCGTGCATCAATTTTTTTCATTTAACGTTCCCTTGCGCGAATATTTTTTTCTTTGACTTCGCCCCCCCCCCCCCCCCCCCCCCCCCCCCCT